CTCTTCCCCTTCCACTGAACTTGGTTTGAGTGTAAGAGGCAGCCATCTTGCTACCACCAGGGGACCAGCCTGAGGATGGTGCAGATCCCAGGAGACAGAGCTGAGAAAGGCCAGGAAAACGCATCTCAGTGACATAGTTGGAAGCTTGGAATCAGCCATGGTTAACGTGGCTTATTAGTTACTTCTGATATAACCCAGAATGCACTGGATTTTTCTACTGCCAATGACTAAACTATCCTAAATGGTTACAGATTTATAAGTGCTGAAAAAAAATTCAGAGTAGGAGATCATAAAAAGTTATTACAGGACAAATGTCAGAATTGGTGACTACCACCAAGAGGTGGAAATAAGTTATCCAAATTTGAAGTTCAGAGAAAACAAGGTGTTGGAGACAGTGGTCTCCCTGCCATTTAGGGAGAAACCCACCTCAGTATAAAAGCCCTGTGAGTGAGGAGGGAGAGTTTGCCTTTGGGGGGAAATGCAATGATCCTGATGAGAAGCAGGGGAGGGGCTATATTCACAGACCCCAAAATAATTATTTATAAAGATTAGGGATGTCCAAGCATCCTAACATTGATGCTTGGCTTTTGTCTGGGGTAGGGGGGGTGGCGAGGGGCGAGGTGAGACATGGTGGTGCTGGGAGCAGCGAGGCATTGTCCATCGGCCGCCGCAGGGCTGACACCGGACTCTGCAGGCAGGTCAGGAGGCCATGGAACGTGCCTGGGCTTGAGCCAACATGCTAGTACTACTCCAACTGAGTTGAAATGCCTCTGAAAACCAGTTATGAGAAACAGATATTGTAAAAGAGACAGTGACAAACAGCGGTCTTATCACAGGACGTGAGCCAGAGTTAAGAAAATAAAAAAAACCACTCCAAACATGGAGAGAGGAAGAAGAAAGGTGAAGAGGAATTTAAAAATGTGTGAGAAGGGATATGGTGAAGAGAACTGTCTCCACAGAACTGAAAGGCTGTATTAGGGAGGGGTTGCTAATAAAGGCAGAGAGATAAAAGGCCTCAGATTGTAAATGGAGGAACTTAGGCTTGTTTGATACAATGAGGAGGACCACTCACACCAGGGAGGAAGCAGATGAAACCTGGATCTGTATGGATTCATTTGGCAAGGGTGTGCAAGTGAATGAGGATAGGAGATGGAGATAAGACGGCCAGTAAGTAACTGTTAGAGCGACCAATGAGAATTGTGGCCTGATTTCTATGGTCCCCCAGAAAACAGGAAAGTACAGTACCAGGAGGGAGGTGGGGTTTTTTGTTTGTTTGTTTGATTGATTGTTTGTTTGTTGGCCGTGCCACGCGGTTTGTGGAATTTTAGTTCCCTGACCAGGTATTGAACCTGGGCCCTGGGCAGTGAGAGCTGAGAGCACAGAGTCCTAACCCCTGGACCACCAGGGATTCCCAGGAGGGAGGTTTATTGGCAGCACCACTACATTTCCAATAACCAATCCTGAACCTTCTATTGTCAGAGATTAGGAAGTTCAGCACTCATTTTCACACACACAAACACACATGCAAACATATTACTAAGAGTAGCATATTTATATAATATACATATATTTAATGTCAGTGTGTATAAAGAGAGAAATGTGTATCTATAAGTATTTATATACATGAGGCTGAACGTTATAGAGACAGATGTATATATAAAGACACGTATATTGTATAACTACAGTCTTCCAGAAACAAACATTTATCAACACACACACACACTCGCTAATAAAATCTATAGTAAATGTACAGTTGAGTATCCTTCAAGGTATCTTTCTTAAAATCTGTACGTAAACAGAATTTTTTACGTACACTTTTTACATGTTTTGTTAATAAAAGGATATCAATTTATAAAGTAAAATTTTACTTTTTAAAAATATGAATTATTACTCCTTATCTGTTTGGTAAATTGGTATTATTGGGTAGTCAGTTTTGTTAAAATAGGCATATATTTTATTAAAACAGGCACGTAGCAACACATGGGATCGTTTATTCTGACTCGTGTACATATGTAATTCACATCTTAAAAATATACAAAAAGAAAAGTAGTTTCATCACTTTTGATTGAGAATGAGTTCTAAATAATAATTTTCTAACATCTAAATTATTTTACCATCTTCTTCACTTAAGGTTGGGAGAAAAACTCTGCTTTTAGAGAAATCTTTTAAAAATATTTCCAATTTGTACCTTGAAAGATTATCAATTCGGAGTCCATATTTTGTCTCCGTCTCCTTCTTTCCCACCTTAACTCTGAATTCTTTATCTACCAGCAGGACGAAGGCAATAGCACCACTGTCTGGTTTCATATATAGTAAAAAGGAATCTTTTACTATCAACCACCTGTAAGAAGGAAATAAGTATTTTTAAAGTTGCACTGAATTACTGAAACAAAAAGAACAAATTATTATGACACATCTGAAGTAAACACTCTAACAGACAGTACACATAATTTTATTTTTTACACAAGGGATCTATTTTTTAAAAAATATGAAAACACTATAAAACAAAAAAACAATAAAAAATCTTCCTATTATGTTTTTTGAGAAGTACTGGCACCAAGCAATTCAAAACAATTCATTAGCTCTTTAAACACTGATGGCAAATCCTGGAAGAATGCCCCTGATATGGGCAGGCAGCGCTAATAGGATGCAAAGCAGGCGCCATAGTTGTTCGAAAAGTGGAATGGGTTGGTGTTTGCTAAAATAAACCACCATAAAAGAGGCCAATGAGGGGCTTCCCTGGTGGCGCAGTGGTTGAGAGTCCGCCTGCCGATGCAGGGGACACAGGCTTGCGCCCCGGTCCGGGAAGATCCCACATGCCGCGGAGCAGCTGGGCCCGTGAGCCATGGCCACTGAGCCTGCGCGTCCGGAGCCTGTGCTCTGCAATGGGAGAGGCCACAACAGTGAGAGGCACGCGTACCGCAAAAAAAAAAAAAAAAAAAAAAAAAAAAAGAGGCCAATGAGTCTCTGAGTAAGTAAAACCCCCCCTTTCAAAAAAATCCAGTAAGCATCCAATAATCTACATATTGTTGTTCATTTCAAATTATTGGTGGCTTTAAGGACCATTAATAAATGATGCTCAGTGGAACATGGTCTCTCAAAAGTATATCTGCATTCAATCCAATATCTATTTAAGAGCCTTGTGATGCAAAAGTACAGTGATAAACTGGGAGTTCGGGCAGAGGTAGAAACAACACAAAGATAAATCAGACATGTTCTCAAAGGAGCTTATTAGGCTAGTGGGGCACGATGACAATTCTAGGCTGAATGGTTAGGTACTAGAGGAAAAAAACAAAAAGTGATGTGTGTAAGGAGGGGGGAGTCCTTAGTTCTCACTAAGAGAATGAGCTAGTGGCGTTCTCCCAAAGAGCTGGTGTCTGAGGGAGGCCAGGAAAAAGCCCATCATGTAGAGCCCAAAGGGTTCAAGGTGTACATCCCGTATGGAGGGAAGTTAGCAAAGGCTCTAACGTGTGGGAATGCTGCCTGTACTGGAAGAAAGTCTGGAGAGGCCGGGGTTTCAGGAGGTGTAGTATGAGAAAACGGACAGTGAAGTTAGGTGGGGTGGGCATGGGGAACAGGCAAAGGCCACATTGAGGAGGGTCTGAAGGCCATGTGAAGGAGGATGACTTTACATCATGGAACCTGTTTTTTCTAAACTTGCCTGATCATCAGAATCTCTTGAGATGCTTGTTAAAAAAACAGTAGATTCCTAGGCCCTACCACAGATCCATTAAAAAGGCCGGACAATCTGTGTTTCTAAAACAACACCCAGATGCCTTTTTTTTTTTTTTTTTTTTTTTTTG